CTCCTCTTTAGGAGCAGGGCACCTCAGTGCTCTGCGACAACCTCCAATGAAGGAGATTGCTCAGTTTCCCATGGCAAACCATTCTTTTGTCCTGCTGTTAGGGATCTACATAACTCGTGGCAAGACAAAGCAATTTTCACAGCTTGGTTGCAGCATGAAGAACTGATTTCACAAGCATTTCCCAGTGACTCTGCCCCTTGCTGCTGATTGACAGAGAAGCACATACTGTATAATAGCAAATTCAATGGAAAGTAAATTATATTATATAATTTATCATATTATTATAAAACTAAATACTAAAATTTAAATTGAAAATGTAAATATATAAATTTATATACACTATGAATTGTAACATCATAATTTACTATTATATGTACCTTCTACAAAAAGTTTAGAAATACTAATTAATGCTGACCTTAACAAACATTTTTACTTCACTGACGGGCATCTTCACTTAATCTACCATCACTAGTAGACAGTAACTCTGAATCACGTGATCTATGGCTACAGTCTTTGTAGCCCAGCTGTACATGGGTTTGTACTCCCCTCTCCAATTGAGGGAATTATATTGGCTGGGCAGTGTGCTGTGGAGGGACACGGCAGTTTAGCAGCCGCCTCTGTCCCCTATAGTCAGGCCCAGTCAATCAATTACTTAACTATATACAAATGTATTATTACAACAAAACCATTAAAGAGTATGGACATAGATTGTATATATATGTACAAATTTACAAAACAATAAACCGTGTGTGTGTGTGGGGGGGGGGGGGGGGTACACACACGGAGAGCAAAAGCTTTTTTTCAAGAAAGAAACTAAGCCTACATTTTAACTATTAAATAATAACTTTTAATATTTTAACTTTGATATAAGAAATAATATAGTAAATAGTATACTGTACAATTACTGCCCCTCACAGGTTGCCTCAGAACATGGCTCTGTTTCGGAGCGTGGCTCTTTTTGAGGATCATCAGCATCAATACTAATATCTGATCTTTGACACAAGCTGCCTGGATCCTTGACACAAGCTGCAGAAGCTCTTTGAAGCAACCTGCGGATGTCTGCCTGCCTGGAAGTCAGTTGCCTTTTTTCAGGAAATTGTTGTGAACAAAGTGAAGTTGTATTACTTCCTGAGCAGAATAAGACTGCTGGCTCAGCAAATTTCAAGAATATTTCCAGACATTGTGCAGCAGTAGCCCAAGCCACTTCAGTTTCTTCACTGTGGTCATCTTCTTCTGAGTCTTGTTCAGGTGTATTAGATCTCTAAGGATTCACAACCTTTTCTATAATTTCAGCATCCGTAAGGGTTTGTGCAACATCAAGGTCTTGATCAATGTTTACCCACTCTTCAAGTTCAGTATCTTTTGAGTTTAGTGAGTGGGTTTGTGGGGTCAGCATTTTGAAGGACATCAAGAATCTCTTTTAATGATTTTTTTTTTTGTCTCACACTGAAACCTGCAAATTCTTCATCATCAGAAGATCCCTCTGCAAACATCACTGCAGCCCACAATTTTCTCCAAGCCTTCCTTAAAGTTGTACTCTTCACAGACCAGGCACATGTCGCATTGAAAACTGCATCCTTAATGGTGTACTGTGACTGAAATCCTTGGAGAGTGCCTTCATAGTGGAGTATCTTCCTCATAAAATCCCTTCTGTAGATAGATTTCAGCCTTTCGATAATTCCCTGATCCATAGGCTGTATGAGTGAGGTGACATTTGCAGGCACGAAGATGGTAAAAATATTTCCAGACACTAATTCTGCTTCAGGAGGGTGAGTTTGACAGTCATCTAAAATCAGAATAACTTGTGTGTCTTCTGGCTTTCCAAGTTTCTTCAGATGCTCTTTCACTGCTCGTACAAAGACATGGTGAAACCAGTGCAAAAATATTTCCTTGTCCATCCATGCATTAGGTTGTGTCTTGTACTCAACAGGTTGTTCTACCTTGTACTCAACAGGTAGATGAATGACACCCTTGAATACTCTTGGTTGCCTGAATTTTCCCACCGCTAGCAGCTTGATTCTATGTGTGCCTGCTGCATTTGTACACGTAAGCACAGTCAGTCGGTCCTTGCTCTGCTTAAAACCAGCGGCACCAACCTCACCTGCACCAGCCAGGGCAGAAGTTGTCAAACAGTGCCAAAAAAGGTGAGATTCATGAGTGCTGTAGATCTGCTCTGGGGTTATGCCATGCTCCACTACCAATTTCTGGAAAAATGCACAATATTTTTCAGCAGCTTCATGATCAGAAGATCTTTTTTCTCCAGAAACATCAAGCCTTCTGATACCATGGTGAAGTTTGAACCAAGACAACCATCCATTTGAAAAAACACAGGCCTTGGTAATTTCCATTTGTTGATAGAAGTCTTTTGTTTTTTCGATCAGCATTGGGCCAGAAATTGGAGCTCCCTCTCAATGTTTTAAGACAAACCAATTGTACAATATCTTGTCTAATTGTTCCAATTTTGGTTTGTGCAGAGTATGGCATTGCTCAATTGCTTTACTAGTCTCAGAATTTGTCACAAACTGGAGTAACTCTGCTCTCTGCGCCTTGATGTCATAGATCGCAGACAAGCCGACATTGAATTCCTGCATCATCCTGTTCTCTCCTTTCTCCAAGTGCTTAATTATGTCCAATTATGCATAATCCTCAAAACAACATGCTTTTGATTCTGTCCTCTGCTTGTTGATGGAGTATGGGTAGCCACAGTTGCAGGACAGGTAAGATATTCAGCACTATAGTCACAGGACAAGCACAATCTCAATATGATCACAACGGAGGATGAGACTGCTGCTAGCGACACCGCTCGGCAGTGTCCTGAATGGCAAGATACTGTCTTTGACAGATGCCGGTTAATAGTTATTCAAAAATACAAGTGAACAATAGAACAACCCAGAACAAATTATATTGATCAGGCAACCTTATACCTCTATAAATATACAAACCATTACTTCAACTTATTCACATAAACTATTAAGCACAGTCTACAAATATAACAAGCAATCCTTAGACTACCTGGGTGCCCTCCAAGGCAGGGGCCCCACTCCAAAGGTAACACTACAGGAAAGGAGGTGGGAGGAAAGAAAAGAAGAGGGAGACCCCAAAGACTCCTAAGTCTCTATCACCCAGGAGCAGCCCACATGGTGCCCCTTCACAACCCTGGGGGTGCCTCCCCTGTGGGGACCCTCTCTCCAGGGTAACTTACTACTCCACAGTCCCGGAGGGTTGCCTCCTGTTCTCCAGGTCAAGCTCTGCTCCCCGCTGGGTTTTCCTGGCATCTGACTCTGCTGCCACCGGCCCGGCTTAGCGCCACATATACCGCTGTGTGTAACGGGTGCTTCGCCTTGTGCTAGAGACTGGAGGCCCAGGCAGCCTTCTGCAGCACTGGGGCTCGATCTGCTCCTGGACTCTGTGCAGCGTCATCTGCACTGAGCTGCTGCCCCATGCCAGCAGCTATGGAACCGAGCCACATCAAGTGGCTCTGAGGGTCT